TAACATAACAGTAATCCTGCTGCATGAAAGGGTGGTTGTGATGCACATGCTTAGCTTAGGAAAAGCTCTGAAGCATGGATGGATTTGTTGTCAGCAGCTTGGGTGCCTTTGATACTTGCTACGTGACGAAGGCAATCACTTAAACTCTTCTTATTTTTCTTATCCATAAAATGTGATTTACACACGCACACGCCGTTGTCTACCTTACAAAATGGTTTTATGGATCAAATGAGATAAGGTTTAAAAAAGTGCTTTGTAAACCTTCAAGTGTTTCATAGACGTTGCTGTTGTAATCTTTAAAATATTAGTGTGATGTACTGCAGTTTGGAGGAGCAAGATGAGAATATTTCAATAATTTTATATACTCTTCTGTAATATAATATAATTTCAGACTCTCCACTGAAGAGAGGGATTATTTTACCTTGAGATGGAAAGTGATTAGATTCCCTAAATGAGGATTGAAGAAATATGTCTCATCGCATTTTAGACCAGCCAGTAGTGAGGAGCTCCTGGGTAAGCCCATTGAACATCAGGAAAAGAGATCCTTAGGGCAGAACAGTGGTTCCAAACTTTTAAAAAAAAATTAACAACAGAGGCAGCTAGATGGAACAGTGGATAGAGCACCGTCCCTGGGTTCAGGAAGACCTGAGTTCAGATCTGGCCTTAGATATATACACTTACTAGCTGTGTGACCCTGGGCCAAGTCACTTTACCCCATTGCCTCGCAAAAAAAAAAAAAATTAACAACAACAAATGTTGGGCCCTCCAGATAAATCTTTTCATAAAGCAGTTTGTACAAATACTTTTCTTATTTATTCAGATAAGATTAAGAATTTATTACATAAGATGTAATCTAATTTATTACTTCATTACATAATGTTACATAAGCAAATCTTAAATGTCAACGTGTTTAGTTACTGACAATCTTTACACTTTTTATATTCCTAACAAAATATTAAATAGTAATAAATGGGTTGATTTGGTTTTTTGGGCACAGAGTTTCTTGAAACAGGTCATTAATATTATTGATAATTCTTTTTCAAACAATCAGAATTTATAAAGACAATATAATATGTATCAGCCGAAAAACTTGTTTTGTACAAATTAGATATTAAAAGTAGCAAAAAATTTGTACATTTTATCTAATAAACCAGATAAATCTTTATTAATTTATAGGCAAAATGTAGTGAGATTTGAGAGTTACATCTACAAGACAAGTCTGTTAACCATTCCTGCTCAGATGAAGCAAGACCAAATGAATCATATTTGTACGTGGCAGATGGGTGTTGTATCCATTCATACTTAGTTATTTCTAGATCTTTGAAATAAAATGGGAATTATTTTTGTATCTTGTCAAGTGATTAATAAGGTCTTTACTTCCATTTTGTCCAATGGGTAGGAATTTTTAAAATCAGAAAAATAAAATACTATGTTGTAAATTTATTCTCTATGAAGGTCTAATTTTTTTCATTTCAGGATCACAGTGAATTTTGAGGACCTTGTATTTATTGATTGATTGATTTATTTAAAATATTTGGTATTTTAAAAATATTTATCAAATGCATTTCAGGAGGATTTTTTAATATATAAAATGAGTTTGCTTCATCTTTATCATTACTCCTAAGAAAAATGAAATTTCTTTTACTTCAATGTTCTCTGAAGTATTTTGGCTTGAGAAAGTCATTGTGTTTCACGATAATATAAAAGTGCTCTATGTTTTGCCCACATATTTTAATGTAATTTTCCAAAGAACCTTCCTTTAAATGGATTCTTCATTAATAAAGTTAATTGTACTTGTAACAACAGGAAAAATTGTTTCTATTTTTATTTCTCAGCATAAGTGATTGTGAAGCATGTCGTGTTCGGATTTCATGAGGGGCCACATTTTTCAGCAGTACTTATTGATCTATGTTTCATACTGATTTTGTTTGAGTTCTCAGTGCAATGTCCAATACAGTTCTTCCACCTCATCATTTTCATTCAAAAAAAAAATCCCTATCAGTTATTTTGAAGATTTCTTTCGCTGTGGTACTGTCAGCAATAAATTTGCATAGTAACATGCTATGTTTCATTTAGCCATTATACTTGTGTAAACAAAAGAACCTTTTTTTTAATATCTGTTGTGTCATCATACCTTTTAGTACAAAATAGGAGGATTTTAGTTCTCATTTAATTTGTAGCACATGCCTTCAGACTTAAGGATATCGCTTCTCACCATGATATCTGTTAGGAGGCATTGTTTCTGTCTCATCACTCACTAGTTGCAGGTAGCTCCAGCATTTCCCCTGTCTGCTCAGAGTATTTATATTTAGCAATTCTGTAATCACGTTTAGACAATGCAAGGAGTTATTTTGATGTCACAGACATGGTTTTTGAAGTTTATTTTTGCTTATTTAAAAGTATCTTATTTTCTCTGGAAAAAAATAGTATATTAAGTCATTTCAATTAATTAGGTTTTGTGATGAGCAGATAAAATATTTTTACAAAGCAGATATGGCAGTATTTCCATTTCATCATAAACATAAAAGATTATGTTTCCTGGATTTGGGCTTTTTACTCTTATTTTGATAATTTCATTATTTATGCTGTCTCTGTTGTCTTTGTTTTACTTTTAGCTACTCTAGTGGATTTTCTCTTTCTAAGGAGAAGGCTTAGAAGCAAATGCTACAAAACCAATAACCAACAAAAAAGAAAACAAATAAACTATTATTATACCCATCATTTCAGTATGGATTCTAACCATAACCTATGGCATGAAAAACCATCGTTGTCTTTCAACTACAAAAACTAATGACCAATCTACGTAAAACACACCCACTCATAAAAATTATTAACAAAACCTTCATTGACCTCCCAACACCATCCAGTATTTCTGCCTGATGAAACTTCGGATCCCTACTAGGAACATGCCTATTTTCTATTTATCTTCTACAAAATATTATGAACAAAAATTTGAGACACATTTTAATTTTATTTTAGAAAACTTCAAATAAGTATATCTCTCATTATTTCAGTTTTTTAAAGTTGCATTTTGTGGGGGAAATGAGCTTCTTATATTGTATTTGTCATAAACAACATTGAAAAATGTGGTAGGTGTTATGGTACTTTTAATTTATAGACAGTTTTAAAAATTTGGACTTTACACCCTTTGTGTTCAGATGCAGCAGGCAGTTGAAGATATAATTTATTTATGTTATGAGCCTACTACACCCACTAATAGTGATGATTGGTTGGCTAATCATACCCCAGTTGAGATTTTGCACCAACTGAATCATATTTGAACTTGCTTCTGTATGACATATTGGCACTGAACCACATTAGTCTTCTTTTTGTTGGCCGTGATTTACTGATTACATTGAAAAATGTGGATGTGGTTAAAGAGGAATTTCATGAAAAAAGTTAATATTAAAATCTCATCATCGCCTATCCTTATTTTGTCAGCATAATCAGAATTGATGTTTGCTATAAAACCATTATATTTTTTAGTAATCAAGGGGTATGGTAGCTTCTGCTTTGGTTCTTTCTGGTTCATCCATCAGCCAATATTGTGGCCGCATTGTATGAAGAGAGCTTTGGAAACTCAGATTTAACTTTATAGTCAAAATATACTTCACTCAGCTGAGATGGCTCTACACGGTAGAGAAATAACAATTTCACTTGCAACATATTCTGACTTTCTCAGTTCTTTGCTTCTGCAGTTGCTGCTGGTATTTCCTATTGTGAAAGGGCAGAAATAAGAAGGGTGCCAGCTACTTGGTGGGAGCACCTGTTTAGAGCCCTTTCCTGGGAAGTGAAAATATAAATTTAGATAAGACGATTTCTACTGTGAAAGAATTTACAATCTAATAGGAAGATAAGACAGCAACATAACTGTAACATTGTAAATGCATTTTTTTGTGAAGTCTGAAGGGAAACATTACCAACTAGGAAGATAAGGGAATGCATCTTAGTAGAACTGGATTTTGAGTTGGGCATTAAAGTATGGGTAGTTACTGCCTGAGTGAATTGGGGAAGGGAGGACATTCTAGGCAAAGGGAACCTGTAAGCAATGGCCGGGAATCAAGAGAATGCAGTGCATGTTTACGTGTACAAAGTCTGGGTAGTAGATTTGTGAGAAAAGAGGGGAAATTCATATTTAGAATGTTAGTTTATTATTTGATATCTTTGGAGATAATAAGTAAAATAACATTTAAGATTTACAAAAATTCAGGTAAAATATTAATGGTGAACAAAGTTTACAACAATAAAATGAAACAAATGCAAGCAAAACAAATACACATGCATATGTACATATGTATATCTCATTTTCTATTCAAAATCTATCATGTCTCTAATGGATAGCTGCATTTATGTATATGTGTATGCACACATGCATATGTACATACATACATATTTTACTTGGGATTGAAAGCGATAAATATTTTGTTCATTTAAAAAATTAGAGATAGGAAGGGTGCTATAGATGCAAAAATGGTGCACACACTTTCAGATGGAGTCATTGTATTATTTTACTTAATTTTATGTTGTTAAAAGAGACGCTTATGAATTGGAAGTAATCTGTGTTTGTAATGTAAAAATAATCCATACCAATAAAACATAAAGAAAAGAAAATATTTCAGAGATAGAAAGATTTGTATGAACTGATTTAGAGTGAAGTATGCAGAATCAGAAGAGTAATTTGTGCTGTATAACATTAATATTATTAAAGCAAAACATTTTGAAGTCTTCTAAACTGACAGGTGGGTGGGAGTGGGAGAGTGAGAACACAGATTTCTGATAATTAAAAAAATAAAAATAGAGATGGTTGGGTGCTTCAGATATGGAATGTTGCACGCACTTTCAGATGAGGTCACTGTAATGTTAATTTTGCTTAATTGTTTGCTTTGTTATAAGAGACTTTAGAGGTGAAGGTAATCTTTAAATGCTTTAAAAACAAAACATATCAGTAAAATTTTTAAAAATTCAATAAAGTAAACCATTCTTTTTTTTTCCCTCTGCAGTAAGAAAAGTGGAAAACCACCATTACAGAGCAATGAGGTAATTCTTTAATATTTTCTTTGAGGTAATTTCTTAAGAAATTTTGAAATTCAAGCATAAATTGATAGAACTCTAGAGTTGAACCTAATGTTCACCCAATGCAGTTTCCATTCTAATATAGGAATCCCTGCAAACATCATCCCTGACAAATGGCCATCTAGCCTTTGCTTGATTGTTTTTTGGAGTTATGAGATGTAAAGACATTATATTATACTCTTAGATAGCTCAAATCATTCATTAGATTTCCATAGGTTGAGCTCAAGTCTGCCTCTCTCAATTGTACTCATTTGTATCAATTCTGCCTTGTGGAACAACACAGCTAAATTGTACTCCTTTTCCAGATGGCAGCCATTTAAATATTTGATGGCTAAATTCAAAGCTTCTTGTCATTTGCAAATTTGATAAGTATGGCATCTGTGTTTAACAAATCAAAATCAAGGGCTGTACTGGAGCTCCCCCTCCAGATTGATTTCAATCCATTCAATTACCACTCTTTCAGTTGAGCTATTCTGAATTCCCTAACTCAATTTGTAATCCAGTTACTATCTTTCCATGTTGTCCATGAGGATACCATGAGAATCTTTGTTCTTGAACAATGACTTGTTCTTGATGAACCCATGCTAGTTCTTAATGCTCACTGATTCCATTTCCAAATGCTCAATAACCATCCCTTTCACATTACCTCTTGTGGTTTTTCCTAGATATTGAGTTTGCTCTCATTGGCACGTAGTTTGAAGGATTTGTCTTATTACCAACTTTGGATATAATGTCATTTTTAAGTCTTTAATACCTTTCCTGTAATTCTCACATTTCATTCTGTTTTGAAATTCATTGACACCACCTAATTCTGTCACATTTGTAATTCTTCGGTCTCCTCATGTGTAGTTTTTGTAAATCCATTGACTTGAGCTCATTTAGTTCCTCTCTTACCATCTCTTTATACTTATTTTGAGTTTTATTTCTTGTTAGCCAATTTTATTCTCTTTTCTAACTTTCATTTTGGCAGAAGGAACATTAGTAAAGTAGGAGTTAAGTAGTTCTTTCTTCTCCAGGGCCAGTTATTATTTCCTTTTTATCCCAAGAAAGGTTTCTTTCTTGCTTAATCATCTTCTTTCCTCTAGCATTTCTTTAGTTATCATCTTTTTTTTTTTTTTGATGGGCGCAGGGGAGACAATTGGAGTTAGGTGACTTGCCCAGGGTCACAAAGATAGTGTCAGAGGCTGGATTTGAACTCAGGTCCTGTACTCTATCCATTGCACTACCTAGCTTCTCCCCTCCCTTTTTTTTTTCCTTTAGCCTTCTTTTTAAGCTTCAGCTTATTTGGGGATTTAGCCTTTCTGATATTTTTACAGGATCATTCCAGTCTTTAATAAAAGCCATTTCCAGATCTCTGTCCTTGCATTCATATTCTGTCTTCCATGTCTTTTTCAATTCTTAGTGGTTTCCTTGTGAAACCATATAATTTTCTTTAAACTAGAATCTTTTTTTTTTTCATTAGAATTGTCAATGTTGAAAACCTCTGGTCTTCTCTGAGAGGATTTTCCTCGTAGAATTATAGACTGTGATATAGTTCCTTTCCTTGCTCTGCACTCTTGGAAATATGTTCTCCTAAAGTCTAGAGTACAAATCAGACTACCTTCATTAACTATGTTATATAAGCAGTTATGTCTGCTGAGGATAAGATGACATGATTATTTAGGTTCCTGTGACCCTAAGAAAAAACTAATTGTCTTAGTAAAAAAGACAACTTTGATTTGTTCAATAATTCATCAATTCTTCCTTCTGGCAGGACAGCCTATAAAGTGCTCCTGCCATACGTCTCCATACTAGATGTTTATAGCTTGTGTACATAATTGAATGAAGTGCTAAATTTCAGTTAAAAATTAGTGAAAATTAAGATGTATTTTTTTCCCCCATGAAAGTCTATGGAACATTCTCCCCTCCCCCACATCTATCAGTGGACCTCTGATCAGTGGAACTCTTGTTTTGGAAAAAGGTAAACCTTGCCAATTCCAGTAATTCCACTAAATTTCAGTGATACCTATGAAGTCATAGTTATCTTGGTGTGTTAAAGTGTGTTAATAAAATGGTATATTAACATAATTTAATGCTTCCTTGGCTCTGTAATCTCAGCAAGGTAGGTTTTTCTTCCATTAATACAGATTATCATCCATCCACGTCTCTCATCCTGTACAATTCATGTCCAGGTCCTCCAATAAATTCTCCACGATGGATTCATCTAATATTGAGTACTTTCTTCTAGATCTGATAACATGATAACCACTCATCAGTCTTGCTGTATGACTGACCCTCCTTCTTTTCTGATTTTCTCTGGTAATAACCTTTGTACAACTTCTCCTGCATAGTTGTTTTTTGGAAGCATTACCTCACTATATTTCTCTCCATTAACTTTTGAGTGACCTACAACTAATTCTTTGGAGACTGGTATATATAGCATTGCCAAAATTATTGTTAAAAGATGAAATTTATTTCAGGGAAAAGCTTGAGGATATTAAAAGTTTCCTAAAGTCAGTCAATAAACATTTTAAATACCTATTATTGCCAGGCACTATGCTAAGTGCTAAGGATACAGAGAAAAGTGTATATAGTCCCTGTTCTCAAGGAGCTTATGGTCCAATAGGGTAGATATTTAGCTATGTCCAGGCAAGATAAATTAGAGATAGTCAACAGAGGGAGGGAACCACCATTATAAAGGAAAAGTTTCTTCAATAAGATGAGATTTTATCTGAGACTTGAAGAAAGCCAGGAGACAGAGATGAGGAAGAAAAACATTCCAGGCATGGAGGACAGTCAGTGAAAATGCCTGGAATTGGAAGATGGAAGGTCTTGTTTGAGGAATTGTAAGGAGGGCACTGCCACTGGGTCACAGTGTATGGAGTGTGTCTCTGTGTGTGTGTGTGTGTGTGTGTGTGTGTGTGTGTGTGTGTGTGTGTATGTGTGTGTGAGTGAAGTGTAAAGACTAGGCAGGGGAGAGAGAATAGATTATGAATGGCTTTGAATGCCAAACAAAGAATTTTATATTTGATCCTAGCTAGAAGTGTGAGTCATTGGAGTTGATTGGATAGGTGAGTGACGTGATCAGACTTGTACTTTAGGAAGATCACTTCAACAGCTGAGTAGATATGGATCATAGTGGTGAGAGATTTGTGGTAGGCAGTGTAATCAGGAAGCTGTTTCTCCAGTTTGAGGTGATAAGGGCCTTCATTGGAATGGTGGCAGCATCAGCAGAGATATGGGAGCATATATGAGAGATGTTACAAAGGTGAAATTGACAGGACTTTGTAATAAATTGAATATGGGGGATGAGAGAGTGTGGAGCTGAGAATCACATCTAGGTTGTGAGCCTGGGTGACTAGTAAGATGGTTGGTGCCCTTGACAGTAACTTGACAGTAATAAGAAGTTTGGAAGGTGGGGGAGGGTTTTGAAGAAACATGATAAGTTGAGTTGAAGATATCTAGAGGATATTTAGATGTCCAGTAGGCAGTTGGAGATGTGAGAGTGGAGGTCAACAGAGAGCTGGATAAGTAGGTCTGAGAATAATCATCGTAGAGATGATAATTGAATCCATGAATGCTGACAGGATCATCAGTTGAAGTAGTCTAGATGGAGAAGAGTGTCTAGAACAAAGCCCTGAAACACTGATAATTGGTGTGACCTGCACAGAGATCCAGCAGAGGAGGCTAAGGATTGAGCATATAGGTAGGAAGAGGACCAGAACAGAGTGATGTCAACCTAGAGGAGGGAGAGTATCAAAGAGAAAAGGATGATGAAGTGTCATGGTCTGCATAGATGAAAGACAAGGATTGAGAAAAAGGCCCATTAAGGGTAAAAATTAAGAAATCATTGGCAATTTCCAAAGACAGCAGTTTTACTTGAATGATGAAGTCAGAAACCAGACTGAGTTAAGAGAATGAGAAAAAAGGAAATGGAGGCATTGATTGTAGATGGTCCTCTCAAAAAGTTCAGTCACTAAAGGGATGAGAGATATTGGATGATAGGTAGTCAGGGTGGATGGATCAAGTGAAGGTTTTTTGAGGATGGGAATGACATAGATATTTTTATAGATAGTAGGCAGCCAGCAGACAGGGGAGAGATGGAAGATAGGTGAGAGAGGATGATAGAGGAAGCAATCTGCTTGAGAAGTTGAGATGTTATAGAATCAATCACTTGTGCATGTAGAGGGATTTGTCTTGGCGTGGAGAATGGCTGCTTCTTCATTTGATCCAGGGATAAAGAGGGAGAGGGTTGCAGAATGCATTTGGGTGATGTGAAATTAGGAGAAGGGGAGAAAAGGGAGTTCTTGGTTCATACAAGTCTTCTCAGATTTCTTTGAAATTATCCCTTTTATTATTTCTTATGGTGTAGTAATATCCCATTACATTCGGTGCCATAATGTACTTAGCCATTCCCCAATTAATGGCACCCTATTAGTTTCCAGTTCTTGCCACTACAAAAAGAGCTGCTGTAAATATTTTTGTCTCATTTTCCTCTTTCTTTGTTTTCTTTGTGGGGATAGGCCTGAATTTCCTTCTTTCCTTCACCTCACTGTCAAAATTTTCTTTCTCTCCAGATGAGTAAACCAGGTGTCATTAGAACAGCTTCATATTTATGTGTGAATGATGGAAATACATAGTTCTTCCTGCAGATATTAAAGGGGCTTATTACCCAAATGAATCTTTTATTGCTTCAATGTTTGGGATTTTTTTTTAACTTCTCGTGCTTCTTGCCTCTTTCAGAAGACCCCTGTCTCCCCACTCAAAGTAGCCTCCAATAGTAAAATAAGTGGGATTATAAGTGTTCAACATCATGTAGCCATTTACCACCCTTAGCACTGTTTTCCATCCTTGCAAATAACTACTCTGCAGGACTCAGTAAAAACAGAATGATTACTAATTACTGAAATACAACGATTACTTCTTTGTTTTTAGTGGCAGAGGAAAGTTAATGCAGGATTAAAGATTTTATGCCCTGAATAAAA